CAAGTAGTTCACGATATCTGGGTATACGATGCTAGGAATTTTTGCACAATCTTCGCTGAAATCACCATTTTTTAAAGAATACGGATCAAATCCGATGTTTTGCACTTTTTCCCTGTATCTATCCTTGACAGGTTCAACCATAGAATCGTAATATTCCGAAAACTCTATAGGATTGCCTCGTGAGCTTACATTAGACGCCATATTTGCACCACCAAAATGGCCGACGCTAATGACGTCATGATTTTTAGTCACGTGTTTGCAATCGAAGAATTCTAAAACATCTCACCAGGACAGCTTCAAAACAACGGATTCTGTACTTGAAATTAGGTGTTTTACATGTAAATCTAAGGCAAAGAATCCCTGAGTGAGCCAGACGACAAGCAATCCTTTCCAGATGATGAAAATTCATGTCTCCTCCAGCACCATGTGTCAATACTACAGCACATCCGGCCCAAGAGCTTGAGCATGGGACATTGATGACTCCATCCAACTGTCTATCTTCAACTGGTATACTTACAAGTATCTGGTGAGTATATGAACGTTACTTACGCTGCTAGTACATACAAGACGCTGAAAAATATAAATCAACCATGTTGGTGAAATACCTTTTTCTTGGTTGCATCAGAGTGCGCCATGTTTACTCGGTGTGGGTACTGCATTCATTCCACCGTAGCTTACATATATTATGATAATGAGTTACTGCCAGCCAATCAGATTCGGGGTTTTACCATACAAGTTTTTATTTATTGCAAATGTTTTATAGCTGTTTTGACGAAATAAAATATTATTTTATTGTTGTTTGTCATCTTTTTACGTCGGCTTTGAGCTATATGCGTAGAGCGCTTTTCATGTGAGTGGAAAAAGATATATTTCAGTAGCCTTGTCACTACGCGATGTGATTGGATTGTGAACCCTAAGACAACATACCGTACTGTGTATATGCTGTAAACGTCAGTTCAACCAACATGAAAACCTCTAATACAGTATATATCAGGGCCCAATATTTTTACCAATAATCATTAAGATACAAGATACTGATGCGTGGGTGGGTTGACGCCAATCAGAGAATATACAGTAAAGGTTCTGACCAATTTATTTGGTTGACGGAAGTGTACCAATCTCCCTGTCGCGACTGCTGTCTCGTTCAGCGCCGGCGTAGCAATGAAAAGAGTGGTAGAGGGTGATGCGCACGAATATAAACTGAAGTTGGATGGTTCGTGAGTAGGACATGGTTCATGAGGGTTGTGCTCACAGTTTTACTTGTATCGTGACCTTTCGGTTCTCTAACTTCGGCTGAATAGCAGCAGTAAGGGGGACTCGCGGTGGATGTCGAAGATTTACGGGTTTTACTGGCGATTTAAGGAACGGGTCGGCAGCGGGAAATACCCGTGTCCCGTTATGCGTTGCGCGACGATTCCCTTACTGCTGCTGTGTTGGGAATCAAAGGTATCGCAAATGAGGGTTAAGATATT